ACTATATATATATATATATATATATATATAGTCCTGAATCTCTTCCTTATTTCACAACGTAAAGTTTTGTTTTCTTTGTAGCGATATTTGCTATTGACTTTAACAAGTAAAATATGTCACGTTTTACAACCGCTTGGTTTTAATTCTGAAGTTTCCCTTAGAAACAAGATTTATTTGATTCTGTTAATTACACCGCGAGTGGATTAAATCAAAAACAGCTGAATTATTTAAACTCATTTACTTTAAGACAGTTTTTTAAAACATAAATGATAAAAAAACGCTAAAAAAAAAGTACGTTCACTTGCCAAGTGTGAATTTTTCTGTCATTACAAATAAACAAAACAATAACAACAAAACTGAGCTGTAAGCACTTGTATTTTTTGTTTCGTCTAGCAAAATTTAACAGTTTACAAATAAGTAAATTACAAAATAAATAAAAGTACTCTCCAGAACCTAAATTTTATACCTGAAGCAATATTACCAGTAATTGGAACACTTAAAATGAATTATCTTACAGGTATTTATACATTTATACAAGATACTGGTAAGAACGACAGTTGGCGAGACGAATGTATTCAATACATTATTATTAGTACTATAACTTTAAATACATACACGTTTCAAAAATATTTTATCATTGAAATCTATATTTTAACAGCAAAAAAAAAGCACTCTGTAAGCACATATTCTTCGTTACATTGAATCAACGTTTCGTGTATGTTTTTATTTCAATTAGAAAAAAAAACCCATCTTTTTTTTATTGATTGTTCTACAATTATAATAGCAGTGAAAAATAATGTAACCTGAGGTTGTTTACTGCCACCTGGTGTTATACGTGCGCTAATATTTGCACTTCTCCTTGGTTGACACTAGATGACGATACCGGTGACCCAACACTTTGTCCATTCACGGAAACCACCACGGTATCTTGCGTGAGTACTTGTGAAGAGTCTATAGTCTGAAGAATGGTCACCCTGTTGATATCAGGGTTCTTTCGCACATTGTGTTCACCACACGTTGCTCCTGTTTCATAGTTCCTGTTGTCGCCGCTAGGGGCCCTGAATTGAGCATGCTGAATAAGCTCCGTCGGACGGGAGTGATTCGAGTCCACAAACAGAGATTCTTGAGATAGAAAACTTGGGGTTAACGACGGGTTACGGCTATGACTAGCGTCAGCTCGTGCAACACTATTCTCGTGAGTAGCACCACTTCTACGAGACTCCCGAGTGTCTGAACTTGTTCGCAGAGCCATTCCAGAACTGGCACGTGACCGATAACTAGGAGGTCCACTGTGATCACGTTCGACCACGCTGAGGGGATGCCTGAAACAAACAGAATATTTAAACGGTTTGCATTTTAAAATCTGGTAGGACTTTTACTCTGAAAACGTGTGAAAACCTTCAGCAGACGTCCTTCACACAAAATGGCGTTTTCCTTCGGGTTTGCCATCTCGTGTGTCATAAGCACTTCTTTTGTGACGAACTTAATTAACTTTTACGTGATTAAATATAGTAAATGTGTAATAATATAGGCTGTTTTACATAACCAATTCTACGGGGGTTGTAAAGTCTTAGATTACAAAACTTGAGTTTTATGAACAAATTCTATATTCTTATCCCAGGTATCTTTCAAGTGGCGCTGCCTTACGTGAACATTTATTTAAAGTTAAGCCTTGGGTAAATATTTATTTGTTTGTTTGTTTGTTTTG